CATTTCCATAATAACTGCCTTTTGCATTCAATCCTTATTAATTTAACAGAGTTGTTGGCCCTATCTATTCTAGTTTACATTTAAGTACCTCATCCTCACTGTATTCAAATTACTTTTATGTTTTATCTGATATAGCTGACTCTAATTTCCAAATAGCAAAAAGGGAAGAAGCAAACATTTGTCTGCACCTATTGCCTTTAGACAATCATTCCTAGCAACACATCCTATGCACATCCTTTTAAATCAGTATTTGGGAATTTTAAAATTTCTTCACTTCTTCCTTCCATCCCTCATCTTTAGGAAACATTATAGGAAGGTATACAATTATTATGTTTTTTGTCAATCATACAATCCATTTTCCCTATCAAACCCTATCACCCTGCTTTCTAATACATCAATTTTCATGAGGTATGATTGCATAATATAATATATCAGTGTTTACTGAAAATTGTTAGGATTCTCAGCCAACTACTTAACTTTATTTATGTATAAAAGTGCTAATTAAAACTCTAAACTTCAGGCCTAAGCATTTCTTATATCTATAGACATATAAACAATAAAGGATTTAAATACCTGATTTTAGGATGCATCTTGTTATGCTCTATGTTTCAGCATTCATTAAACATTTCATTTATTTGCATACCTGCTTCTATTTCATCATATACTGCTTTTATAGCATTCAGCAATCATCTTGAACCCATGTTTTGACACAACTTTTCAGTAATTCAGATATTCGGTTTGTGATATGCCCTCGCTAAATCAGTGAATGGATAGTAAACTTTTTTTCTCACATACATTTTTAAGTGAATGGAGTCTATGTTAGTATGTTATGCAGGCTATAGCTATAGCATGTTGACTTGAAGAAAATCTCTATATTAGAGATTCTACTTTAAGAATGGTGGGATAAAACTAGGTTTGCTTGCACATATATATAGCATACTGGTCAAAATGTGCCACATCCTCACCAACAAGGATGACTCTTGACTTACAACCCAGGGGTGGGTTCCTGCCAGTTCACATATCTACAATGCCATTTAGAACCTGTTCCAACTCCCTCCCGCCACCCGTCCGCACACCATCAAGATGAAGAGCAAGAGGAGGAATTCTGGGAGTTGAAGTCCACAAGT